GGAGGAGGAGGAGGAGGAGGAGGAGGAGGAGGAGGAGGAGGAGGTGGCGGTGGCGGATGCGGAAAACCGTGATAGTATGCGGGAAACGGAGGATAGTATCCTGGGTGAGCTTGGCCGTATGGGTGGTGCCGCGGATGGTGCCGATGATGTTTGCCCTTGAAAGGCGGCCACTTTGCACCGTTTCTTCCTCCCCAGAGCTCCATTTCGTATTCTGGTTGTCTGTCGCGATCAAAGTGAGTATGTCTGCCCTGCTGACGGCCATTCCGGAAGGTATCACGGTCTATGGATATTGTAGAGGAGCTCACCGACCCAAAGTCCTGGTAGCCTGCAGAAGCATGCAGTATTGTAGGGGACGGTAGTTTGAGTTTAAAAAAGGACGGCGGCAGTTTGAGTTTGAAAGAGGACGGCGGCTCGCTGCCTAGCGGGGGGAGATGCGACAAAGATGCCTTTGACGATGGCACCGAGTCCGTTTCTGGATTGGCTAAGGCCGGGAAGTTCTGCTGCAACGCTGGGTTGGAGAAAGGGGCGTTTGCTTGGTCTAGTAGCCGTATCTGCGGGTTGTGGGCCAGATCAAGCGACATGAGCTGCGGGTCTTGTGGCGCTGTGGGTTGACTCATATCTGTGGCTGCTGGTGTGCCTGGCATATCTTGAGAGGAGATGTTTTGGGGTACACGTCTGCGGCGCCGGCCGCCACGCATGCTTCTGACAAACACACACTCGGTGCCTAAGAATTTACAGTTCGTGCACGTGGGCTGGGGCTCAGCTTGATCTTTATTTTGCAGTGCAATCTCGCCGTCGCACTTGATTTTCTTCTCGCGGCACAGGAGACAAGCCCGGCGTGCCACGAGCCGTTTTGCGGAATTTGCAAGGTGGGGCTGTGTCCCGCTCATCTCGGTCATGGAGGTGCCGGTGGATATGCTGGACATGGTTTCGTCATCTTGCAATTGCTGTGTGCTATTTCGGTGCAGGTTCAACAGGGAAGATAGGCCCGCTAAATGCGGGGAATTTTGGTGGCCCGACAGATCGTGTGGATTTCCATGTTGCATGGAACCAGAGGAAGCGCCGCTGTTAATTGCCGAGCTCTGCTGCTGTGCATGACCGCTGAACATTGGTGAAAGACATGGGTAAATGGAGCGGACGGCCGGTTTTACGTGCTTGCAGGTGGCGCGAAACGGCCCCCAAAAAAGGTTCGATTGAGGGGGAGCGGCGGGGTTTAAGTAGTGATAAGATACAGAAAAAGAAACCAACAAAGCGCGGAAAGGCTGCAAAAATAGAACATGGATCTCAGGCGAGTTTCCGGGGCAGCGACTTGACTGGAATAATGCACAAGCACCACGGGGGGTAAGTTCGAGGGGACCCAGTTTGCAGCGGGGCAGTGCAGCCGAGACGAAGTCCTGCATATATGCGCCCAACGGCCGATCGCTGGAAAACTGAAATACGCGGCAAGCAGAATTACGCGAGCCGTTCACACCTGCTTTGCAGCACTAGTGCAGCACACGCGTGGAGAAAGTCGTGACGTGCATCTACTCTGTTCAAACGCACCGGTTGAGTAGCCGTGTACATGGAATACTTTCACAGCAATTCAGTAGTCCCATCCAAACCCAGGTCTTTTCACACCAAGGTTTTGGCCATTTTCCGCCCGCGAAGAATACCAACAAGCGAGAGACTGCCTGCAAATAGCTCCTCTTTGAAGTAAAATAGGAACGCGGCCGTGGTGACGGACTGGAACGATTTGATTGCCAAGCCTCGGTACAAGCCTTCCATGCCTTCTTCAGCCACAATCTTCTTGATCTCCTGATACATCGAGAGCTGTGCATCTGCCTTTTGCTCGGCAGCGCTCGGATCGGTCCCGGGGCTCTTTTTTCTCACATGCATGCGTGACTTCAACGTGATGTATGGATAAGTGAGTGTGGTGGCCACCAACTTGCCAAATGCACCGATGAAAAACGCCTTTTTTGCGCTAAAACCGCGTGATCCCTTTTGTGCAACAATCATGTTTTTGATTTGCTCGAAAATCGTGTACTGAATGATGGGGTTGATCACCAAGACCAACGCGGGCAAGACCCCGGCGAAGAGTGTCGATATCCCGTCCTTCTGTGCGATTTCCAAAAGCGCTCTGAAGGCAGAACGAGATTTGCCGTCTTCCTTTGCCATAGTCATCATCCGCGTGTTGGCGACCCAAAACGGGTTAGTACCTACAACCGTAATGGCGCCGGCAATGGCACCCGTGATAATCAGCTGGAGCGTCGAAAGACCCCGCTTTCTTCTTTGGGCCGCTGCGTTCGACTTCAAGAACACGTTCGACGTGAGCTCGTAGAAGTAGTAGTAGATGAAGTTCAGCAACGTGATTCCGTAGAGGGCACTTTCCAAGCCCGCGTAAAGACTTTTGATGCCTCCTTTATCCAGAAGCGCCTTCCGAATCTCGCATTTTGAGGAGGCCTCGATCTGATCGTCCTCGGCTTCTTTCTTTTTGCTTGTCGTTTGCGCGAGGGTCGACAAAGTTATGAGCGGATACGTTACAATCATTGAAAGAGCACCTCCGCCCGCGCCTGCAATGGCGTGTGCAAGCTCAGCATCGTCGGACATTTTTGCGCAAGCTTCCAAAAATCTTCGTCTTTTCAAAGAATTCGGCAACCAGCTTGATACCTTATATATAAGTGAACGTGTGTTTTGTGTGTCTATACTATAACACCACGTGTGAACAGAACCTTTGCAACTCTATATTTTCCGTGTGCCAGAAATCTAGATGTTGGGGAAGAAAAAAGCTTACGGTCGGGCTACAAAACGGGTCTGGTATGTAGCCTACACCGGATGTGGAGATAACCGGGGGTATAGGTCGGTCTGCCCCACGGTTCGTGATTCGTGGGGAATCCTCTCCGCATAGGCTAGCACATGCAGGAAACCCAATGTCTATGTTCGCTAGACGTCTTGCATGTGATACTTTTATTACAAGAGCCCGAAAATGTGAAGAGATGTTTGAAGCATATTGATACAAATGGCTTGAATTTTGTTATTTCCGAACGCATAACGTCCTGTTTAAGGCAAGCTTTGCAGGGCTCAAGGACACTTTTCTGTAGAACAAGTTCAGAAGTCCCGGAGATATAAACGTGGACCGCTAATTGACCTGCTCCTGCTTCCTCCATGAAATAGTTCAAATTTACTGTCTGCTACTTTATTGAAAATGTTGCAAAATTTCTGTATGCAAATGTGGGAAAGTTGCAGTATTGCAAAATTCAGAGAGTAAACTTCTCTCGCGCTTCGGTGGCTCTTAATTTGCGGTGCCGAAGATAGCCATGGCAAAAATTTGTCTGGTGGTAATAATCCAAAAATAAGAAGAACCAACAAAAAGTACCTTTAGCACTGTAATAGACCTCAGTTTTCTGGAAAGAACCTTTCTGAATAAGAAGGACAGCAGCATACAGCAAAAGTTGCGACACTCATTAGATTTTTATGTATGCCAGACCTGCAAAGTATTATTGGGAACAAGGCTCTAGCCCAACTCGACTCGATGATGTTTAGTGCTGACTATACCATGAAATGTTTTTGAAATGCTATGCTTAAAGAGAAAATTATTAGATGTTTTATAAAACATTTGGGAAAGCAAGAAACGCCCCACCACTTAACCAAGACTTGCATGGTTCCAGGAAAGATCACCGTGTTCTGGATCGCCCATCTATCTTGATCCAAAATCAAGTGCACCGAACTTTGCCATATATATTTTCCTCTGTACTACAGGTTTGTGTCATGCTCTCACAGAGCAAAATATTTATTTACTTATCTGCTGCATCATCGAAATTAATGCATTGTTATGTCGAATTTCCTAGATCAGATTTTCAGTCGGAGAGAATGACCGCAAGCGGGGGCCCCATTCTATTATAAATTTATGCCAAAATACCCCAGTTATCTTTTTTTGTTTCCCACCTAACAACAGAAAGCTGCCATTGATCTAAGCCCTAACCAAAATTATTGACTTGAAGAATCTTGATCACAAATCATAAGGCTTCCAAAACACCCACCTTTGCAATGAGATTCTCCAGCACACGTCGTTCAGTAAGAAAAACTCATAAGAATCCGGGAGAGTCCGATTCGAAGTTTGGGAGTGCTACATCCAGACCCAGAGAAAATGCTCGCAGACTACCTATGTTAATCAGGAGAAGACAGCGTTATACACAACAAAGGTCAAACTGCACGGCTTTACGTTTGGGAAAAAAATCCCAAATAATTGCTGAAAGCCTTACAGAGCTCTCGACCTCTCTTTCGCAGGAGGCTGACATGGCTCCTGTTTCCAAAGCCCTTGACGCTATTGAGACGGTTAGTGGGAAACAAATTTCATTGTGTGCGTCTATTCCAGAAATTGAGAACAGAGGAGTCTATAGGTTGCCCATCCAAAACAAAGACTGGAGTCTACCACTTATTGAGGGCCCTGATCCAGACCTGGAAGTCCCTGTCTGCCAGTTTCTGTGGGAAGATTCCAACATGACTGGCAATGGAGCAAGCCAGATAGGGTACCCAGAACCGTCTCCACTAATTAGCGAGGAGGAAAGACTTGAACTTCTGATCGAGAGTCCTGAGGATGTTGGAGAAAAGAACGGAAAGAAAAGTCTTGAGAACGTCGGAAAAGAAACTCTTGAGAACGCTGCTCAGGATCTTGGCCAAACCAGCGATGGTGAATCTGTACATGCCTTAACTAAAAACGGGACGAGTACCCTCCTTTCTGACAGCAATGAAGAAACATGTTTTGGCTCAGGGCCATCTGCTAAAGGACCTAAAAAGAATACCAGAATATTGAGCGGGCTGAGGACAGATTCCGTTGCGAGTTCCCCAGCATCTGCTCTCGAGGTAAGCACCCCTGGGTCTACAAATGGCCCTCGGAATAAAAAAAAAATGGATCTTGCTGGATCCGAGTCCAGGTCATCTCACGCTTTAGACCCAGAGTTGGAAGCGACCATCAGAAACGCACCTTATTCTGCGGATGAAACTGATACTTTCGCCACTACCCACTTGAATTACGAGGAGACATCACTCTACAAATTGGATTGTCGTGAAGCAGAGATTTATTACTCACTGTGTCCGAACTCTGCAGAATCATTGGATCTGTGTGACGAAACAGACGAAGGAGATGAGGCCAACGATTGCGATCTCTACTACATGAGCAGCAATGACGATAGTTCCTTCAGCGATTGGAAAAGGCCCACGCCGAATGTGTCTGTAGTCCAGCCGATACCTTTGGCGGTGAACAATTTAAGTCACATTCGGATGTTAGGCATTTCGGAATTGGGTAGAGCTAGCTACATTGCAGATTATGAGGAGACGTATAATGCCAACAGGTGCTACTCAAATAACGAAGCGTCTCCTAATTATGTGTTGGACAAGGACAAGAAAGCCGGTGACAGGAACCGTTCGGGGCTACCAGTAAATGGAAACGACTTGTGGCGCGATTGGAGAAAGCCCAGGTCTTTTGGAGGCCTGTCGTTGGCGACAAATGCCCTGAATTTCTGCTGGCTGCTTGGAAACTCAGGAAATGGCAGACCCGCATCAGTCAACGAAGATCAAGCAGCACATGAAGCCAGCGAAGAAGAGATCCATAGTCCCTTGCTGGATGACCAGTACACTAACAAAAACACTGGATTGCTTGTGACTCCGGGGACTCTCAAGAAGATATACAGTTGGGGCTCAGCTGAAGCCCGCAAATCCATACTCAACAAGCAAGGCACGAGTTTAAGGACCGAGGGAGTCCAAGACGCCGGGGGGTCCTCATCCTCGGCAATTGAAAAGGAAGCAGGCATCTGGAAAAAAAGTTTTGCTAACGCTGCAAAAGCATCCGGTATTAGTGTGCCAACTGCTGTCCCAAAGGTTCCCGTGGTGGATGTTCCCAAGGTGTTGGCTGTGCAGACCAAACCATTGGATAGCCCTGGCAGCGTATTGGCAGAGGAGCGTGCGAGCTTATGGGATGCGCTTGGTCTCGGCAAGATAACCCAGTGTCAGACCTTCAAGCGAGAGTACTTGGTTGGCAGGGACTTTTCGCTTTTCCGTACCACGAGGATCCATCTCCGGAACTTGTTCATCTTCCATGAGCTTGTGCCGAGTTTGGCCAATTACGTACAGCCCGAGCCAAGCCAAGAACCCAAGGGTAGGACAGAGGTTAAGTTTGATGACGATGATGTGCCTCTCGAAGCGCCCCAGTCCAAAGACGAGCAGGGCATAGACAGAAGAGGCTTTCAAACACGCACACAGAGTATTTTGAAAGCCACGAAAAAGCCGGGGGACCCAAAGGCACTCCTTATCCGCGAGTTCAAACAGCCCTATTCGGCAAGAAAGAGAAAGGCCATCGACAGGAAAATGTGGGCAAAGGTGATGCTCTGCCAACTCAAGCTTGAGGAGCTCAAGCGGGACCCCAAGCCAGGAAGCCATCGACAAACGGTGGGGGCGTTTCGACTGTGTTTCGACTTCACTCGCACCAACTACGTGTACTTGGCCACGGAACAGATCTTGGAGTACGTGTGCTGCTTGTGGACCGTCAAGAAAGAGGCGTTTGCGGTTTTTGATAACCTCATGGGAGCAGGGTACGAGTACGGGGTCTTTCTTGATTTCGCCTCGTCGACTCGAGAATCTGCCGAGACATTGCAGCAGGCCCAGGCTCTAGTCAGGCTGGTGATGCAAACAGTCCGGAACAGTGCCATCGTGTTGGACGGACTCCGCCACCAGATCCAGCATTTGCAGAGCGGGGCGCCTGGGTATATTGGCACCATGGTCGATTTGGCGCAAATCGCAGTCTCCAGCAGGACAGAGGCGTTGGAAATCTTTGGTGAGTTCTGGAGGGACAGGAACGGCGCCGATGATGGCGCCCAGTTGCTCCAGCAGACGCATTTCGATATGCTCATCCAAGAGCTGGACTTCTTGGCCGACCGCATGAAGCTTTTCCAGGTGGACCAGTTCGAAAAGGCCATTGAAGACGTGGCTCGGTCCCAGGAGCTTATTGGACGCATCCAGCTGAGCCTCGAGTCACACATTGGCTTGGTTCAGGACATTATTGGCGAGCGCCTGAATCGAGTTGCGGCCGGCAGCCCTCTTGCAAGTTAATCACCTTGGCCCATTTGGTTATATGATGGGCATGGCCCTTTATCTCAAAAGATTCGACACGGGTCTCTTTCAATGCTGGAAATAGCCCTTTTGTCTTTATCACTTTGGCACGGTTTTGTTAGTATGCTAGACTTCTCTTTAATCTTACTCAGTTTGACACCGGTTTAATTGTACGCTGTACTGCCCTTTTATCTTGATTAGTGTGGCACGGATGCTTTCGCATGCTTAGCATTTATCTCAACTAGCTTGAAACAGTTTCGTTGGACAGCTAGATTGCCCTTTTATCCTAGTTAGCATGGCATGGATCCGTCTATATGCTGGAAATAGCCCTTTTATCTTAGTCAGTTTGACACAGGTTGATTTGTATGCGGCCCTTTAATCTTGAACAGTTTGGCCTGAGCTCGACGAATTGTATGCTGGACTTCCCATTCATCTTAATTATCTTGACACAGGCTTGGTTGTATGATGAGAACTGCCATTTTATCTTGATAAGTTTAGCACAGGTCCGTTTTTATGCTGGACTCCCATTTGAGCTCAAGCCCGTTTGTATGATGGGCGCTGTCCTCTTATATGAACAAGTGCGGCACGTGTCCGTTTATATGTTGGAGATAGGCCTTTTTAAATTAGCTTGAATCAGGTTCGTCTGTAAGCTGGCTTGCCCTTTTACTCTCTCTAGCATGTCACGAATCTGTTTATATATCGGACTGCCCTTCTATCTTAATTAGTGTGCACAAGCCCTACAGTTTGTATGCTGGACTTCCTGCCCATCTTAATCAGCTTGCCACAGATCCATTTGTATACTACACTGCGAGAAAGCCTGGGTATCGGGCCTTAATCAACACAGAGCCGTGCTTTCAACAAGCTCGAGCTTGTTTCAAGAATGCAGTTCGTTCAGGATCTACAGACGAGGAGGTCTTGAGCCTGACCAGACCATGCGCAGAATCATGCTGCGAACGCTGAATATGTATTATTCGGGTCCTCCAATGGACAGGCTTTTACGCTAAGGCCAGCTATACCCAAACAGATGGAGGCCCATACCATGTAGCTATTTCCAAACGGAGTTCCGCTGATTTTGGCCCTCGAAGGAAATACTCACAGATGGGCTTGGCAAGATGTCCTACAATGCTCAAGCCCAAGGAAGCTTCGGGGCGGCTTCATGGAGATTCTCCAGTAGAACCCCGGATTTCTCACCCCACCTAAAGTGCTGTATCAAGATATTTGATGAGCTATTGAACAACGCTGAACATTTTGAATGCACTTTCGGTCATAACCGAAGCATTTATCATCGTGTCATATATTGACGTTCTTGAGAAAAACCCAACTTACTGGCCCTCCATGTGTTCATATTTCTCAGTGTCTCGAATGCTTTACCAGAACACCTCAATGTGGGTGGATTAAAACAATCAAGAATGCCCTTAAAAAAGAATAAACAAGTTGTAAAAAGCTTTGACTCCGGCGTGATTCGAACACGCGCATCTTACGATAACAGAACTTGAGTCTGCCGCCTTAGACCGCTCGGCCACAGAGCCTTATTGGGATTTATGTTATGATACGACATGAGCCAGATTATAGATTCTGGGCATCCTGTATAATACGAAGGACGAAGAGTCTAAACATTCCTGATCGGGGTTACCCCTCACCTACTGTATAGAAGGGTTCCGAACTATAAAGGAGCGTGAGGCTGAGACATCCCTGAAGAAGGATAACACTTTTTAGACATCGAGAATACGACAGATAGACTAGGCCTATCCACTAAGGCTGAACTATCTATAAACCGATCTACTCGTAGTTTAAGAGACAGCTCCAGGCTGTTTCATAATAGTTGGTAGCGCAGCTTAGTTACGACCATGGGAGAAACTACAATGAGCGCAAAGACAAATAAAGACACGTCGACCTTGACCTTCAACCCGACAATGTACTTCAGCGACGCAGAACAAGACCGGGCCGCTCAAGAATATTTGAGTAACATGAACCGCCTTCTCGAAACAAAAAATACTGTCCATTACAGATGAGAAAACAAGNGTCAGCTTCTGCATGG